ACACCCACACCCAACCATATGATTTAACATACATATGAGCAATTTCATTTGTTAGGGACGTGACTTCGCAAAATTAAAATGCTTATATATCTGGATAATGAACTCCTACATGGCTGATTTTGTATGCAATAGGCATATTAAGTTACTTTATATAGCCTGAAAAATTCAGCGGTATAGCCCTTTGTTCAGAGAAGTTGTCATCAAAAAGTAGCGTTAGAAGCGTGTCCGAGAAAAAAGACATCAATTTCACTGGAGTACTTCAGTTAAAAAAACTGCGAATTGAGGAAGTATTGCTGGAAACTAAATAGTAAGGTACGGAAAAAAGTTCTCACACATTTTCCTATCGATATTAATAGAACAATTTCTAAGATCTTTTTTTCATATAATATACCAAAAGATGAAGCGTGAAAAGCTCTGCAATTTGCATAACTTTGCTATTTTTTAGTTGTACTTTTTGTGTTCAAAATCGTCAAAATTTCGAGCGACTAAATTTCGACGCTGCGAAAAGATAACACGAACGAGAAATTATCTTTTTTCTTATTTCATCTTTTTATCACCTATGTATATTGTAGAGCTTTCTACGCTGCATCTTTTGGTGTATTTTGTTTTTTTTTAAATAAAAGATTTCAGGTGGTAAAGAGGACAAAAATACATTGGTGGTGTATTGAACAAAGATTTTTTCGCAGCATCGAAATCTGGTGACTCAGAATTTTTGTCAGTTTTGAAAACGAAAAGAACACCTGTAAAAAAGTGGTTCTGTGGAAACTATAGAGCTTTCCACGCTGCATCTTCTGATGTATTTTGTTTTCTTTTAAATAAAACATATGAAGTGATCAAAAAATGAAATAAATCCATCTTGTGCCGAAAAAAATATCGTTTTCACAGGGTCGAAGTTTGATCGCTCGAAGTTTTGACGATTTTGAACACAAAAAATGCTACTGTAAAAAAAGCGGTCTAGTGTAAATTGTAGAACTTTTTCACGCTGCATCTCTTGGTATATTATATGAAAAAAAAGTTCTCACAAATTTCTCTATTCATATCGATAGGAAAATGTCTGACAACTTTTTATCCATACCATACATGCTGTAGACGACTTTCGATAGTACAAAACTTCTATCTGCAATTTTTTCTCAGTATCCTCAGAGTTTTCAAAATCTCCGATTTATTTTGTGTTAGGGGCGTGACAAATTCGTTAGGGACGTGATAGAGTGCGAATTTACAAACAAAAAGATGTCCTTATAACTAAATGAGAGATTCAAAACCAACTCTACGAACCCTTAGCTATTAACTTACAATACTACGTGAGCTACTGATCTCAAGGCATAATTTGCAAAAATGTGTTGAGATAGCTTCTGCATCTCAGGAATCATCCATTTATGTTATTTTCTCATATTTTCTGAACTTTTGATTATTAAGTAATATAAATTTGTACTTCTTTTTGCTTTCGTCTATAATCACTATATAAGAACGTACTCATGAAGAAGATCAACTCGCTGCCAATATAAATAGTTAAATAAACAGTTTCAAGGAGAAGACTGCAACATTCTCAACTGATTCTTTCGTCTATAATTTCTAGAAAAGCGAATAGCTGCTAAAATGTTAGACAATCGTTTACATGGGTATCAAGTCGAAAACCCAATTATCAGTGAGTGGAAGTTAATAACAAAAAGCTTGAGTTTTGCTAACTCGTTTTGAATAAACCTGTTCTCAGTAAAAAGTGTTACAGTACCTTCAAACTCTTAATATGCTGTCAGATTTATTAATAAGCAAGCATCCAATACTATATCTTTCATCATCAGAAATTAAATTCAAGAAAAAAAACTTTCACTGGCGAACTGTACATTGTGGCAAGGTGAGGGGAGGGGGGGGATGAAGTATAGTCTCATTCTAAAATGTATTGCGTCCCCTAAAAAATTGACCTTGCGCCGCACATGCTTTCTATTCACAGCAGATTGGTATGCGATAACACCAACAATACACAATACTTTCGGCCACCTTGGAAAAGTCCGTAGGCGATATTAACAGATCAGCGAAAGCGAATTTTCCTAGTCTGTAAAATAAATATGTTAATATTACTCGAGTGTTATAGCTCTTAATATTTTCGCATACAAAAACACACAATCTGTCATTATAGATTCCGTTCAAACACCGTTCTTTTATCTTCAAAAAAAAGCAAAACAAAAACAAGATCAGCCATAAATGGATACGAAAAAACAGTTCCTATTAATGTCCTAGATAGAAAAATCAATCAAGCTAAATCTTTCCCTGGTCAAATATCAATACTTATCAATCATAACCTTTAGTTTTTAATTCTGCGATACTTCTCATTGTTCTTATAAGCATCACGGACATTTTCATATGTAGCTGTAAATGGATTTTTAACATGAGTTGCATCATCGTTCATATTTTTCATAACTTCTAATAAAAAATAATGAAGTGCTCTTGGCGTCATTATTTGATCAATAATTGTAGCGACC